CTGAAAGGTTATGAATATGTTTGGTGGTGACTGTGGCTCAGGAGGTCGAGCTGGTTGTCTCCCAACCAAAGGGTTAGTGGCTCGATTCCTGGCTTCTCCGCAGGTCGTAGTGTTCTTGGGCATGGCTCTGAACACCAAGGTGCTCCTGGTGGCTGTCTCACCTGTGTGTTAATGTTTGTGTGTACAGATGAATGGGAAACAGTGTAAAGTGCTTCATCACATAGATAAAAACTATGTAAGACTGTTTACCATGTTCAGAAATATGTTTATGTACCAAATGTGTGAAGGGGGATCCTGGCCTCTGAATTACAGTGGAAATGTTTGCTGTGAGCCAGGGCGCAATGTTCAGTACAAAGGCTGATGATTTTGTCATAAGGACAAGATGGTGATTGTCTGCACTGGTGTGTTTGAAAAAAAAAACCTGACACTGCATGTCGGTACCAGCGTGCAGTGGTTCAGGATTCAGATCTGTTGCCTCCTGACTGAGCATGTCAAGTAACACCTTTTCATCATTTTGGGCTTTCATGATCATAGACCTGGACTTTTTTCTCCTAGTAGCCAAATGCAGGTTTCAGCTGGTGTGTTTTAGTTTTAAACTGTCATGTATCTCGGTGACGGATTGTGCAGTGGGGGCAGCAGGTTACTGTGGTTGCTGCACAGTTTCTCGAGAACGTCCGAGGGTGTAGCAGCAACAAATTTCCAGCAGCTCTTTTCAAATGTGACTCAAACTGAATGCAGACCAGTGCTGTGTTTGCCGTTGTTTTCTCGTCACCCTGTCTGAGGTATAAGCCCTTAAAAAACTCACAGCAATTCAGCCTAATCAGCTTATGGTACACAGACCGCAGCGCGCCCGCACACACACACACACACACACACACACACACACACACACAGAGTCACACACCAGTCTGAATGCTGCTGTAGACTCAGAGTCCTGTAACATACGGCTTCTGTCACTTCTCTAAAGGTTTGGCCCTCCAGCACACAGAGTCTGTGGCTAACAGCTAATAAGACATGTCTGCTGCTCGGGGCTGCCTGGTGAAGCGTTCCAAATCATTCCTGTGAACTTAATGTCTCTCTCTGTCATGATGTACGGAGATTCTTTCTTCCTTTCTGGCACTTGATTCTCTGAGAGTGCTGTGTTGCCTCCAGCCCTCCCCGGCGGCTCCTTGCTTCCTGTCAGATTGTGTCTGCGGGGGGGTGGTTCTGAGTAGCTCCTGGAGATGGGCAGACCGAGTCAATCGAGGTGGTGCGATGTGGGACTGGTGTGGTGGAGGGGCTGACAAGGGGCGGAAGCAGGGTACTGGCAGTGGGCTTTGCTGTGAGAAAGCAGAGGGATGTAGTGCAGGAAGGGTGGCGGTGCTCCAGCCATGGCTCAGCAAGTGGCTTTGCACCCTTTTCTCAAATCTGAATACCAGTGCAAAGGGAGGCTGTGTTTGATGGCAAGGTTGTGTGTGAAGGTTTCGCTAGTAGAGGTCACTTGGTTCCTTTACATTTACTGACTTTGAACCCTGTATTGAATCCACTTACTGACTAAGAGAGACCAGATTCGTTAAGAGATTCATTTGCCTCATCTGTATCTACACCAGGTTTTTCACCAGATATGCACAAGATGAAAATTTGATCTGGTTATCATAGTATCACAGGAGTCCCTGCTCCATAGTTATACATTATTTATCACGATGATGTTCTGGATAATGAAAAACTCCTCATCTTGTTTCCAGATATCAGATTGGTGCTCAGTATCAGCAGAATGCCAGGTATCACAGTTGGTGTTAGGAGAGGAAACATCAGAGGCGTCTTTGTAGGCTACATTCAGGCTGAAAAATCACCTCATTCCTTTGTCCGTTGATGCAGCGTGGGGTCATATGTGTCATCATCAAGTGAGCACATGAAAGCAATGCTTTGTAACAGGACTGACATAATGAAAGATAGAATAATCCTGTGTGTGAGCTTTACAGACAGGATTCATCTCATAAGCCTTTAAACCAGTAAAAGGTTTTTCTCCGAATGGACCTGGATTGTATTTCGTTGTCAAATCGTTACCTTAAACAACACGTCCAAAACAATAAGTAACAATGTGTCTTAACGCAGATTTTCAGTTGACTCCCTACCTAAGCATCTTTTTAGTACAAACACTTCCCCCATACGTATGTGGACCTGTTGCACACCTTAATATGTGATTCAAGCTAGCAAGTGGACTCTGAGTCTAAGTTATTTCATCAACCTGCAATCTCCAGTGATACCTTGTTTAGCTGTGAGGACGTGTTTTCCAGCTCACTACAAAGCACTGAGCTACACTGGAGGAGCTCAGCCCTTGTCGCACGCTGGGTAAAGAGACAAATGGGCCGAAGTCTCACGCAGCTGGTGTCGTCTTTTAAGAATGTAGTTCACCCTCATTCCCTCCAGCCTCAAATGACCTCTCCTGGCAAAGTGGGCAGTCAAACATCGCCTGTCTTGGCCCTCGCTGCCTGTCCCTCAAGGTGAAGTCATTGACTATTCGGCCACTTGCCATGCCTGTCTTTGCTCCTGTGCTGTTGCCTGGGCTGCATCCTTCACCTGCTCTCCTTCCTCAGAGGAAAAACCTCTCTTTCTCTCTTCCTGTCTGTGCCTCCTCGGTGTATAGAGAAGCCATAAACCCAGCTCAGGGTGACAATATATGTGTGAAGGAGTGAGTCTGACAGAAAGTTGAAGACTTTGAAATGAAGGGACAGGATTAGATTTGAACTGGGAGGAGATTGTTTGGTGGATTTATGGCAGATTTGTCAGTTTCCTTGATGTAAAGATTAACTGTCACCAGCGTGACAGGAAGTCGACAGGTGCTTTGCTCCGTAATTGCTTTACCTGCTCATTTATTCTAACTTTTCAGAGGAGAAGACTGGACACAGTTACACCATGGAAAGAACCTCTCTTTACAACAGCATCTTTCCTGTACCATTTAAAAATCCTTTACCTTTAATATGTTTCTTTTCATTCAAAAATCTGAATCTTCAGTTAGTTCAGCTTTTCATAGAGCCGTGGGGTTGACAACAGCTTCAGCTGGTTGGAGAAACAGTCCACCAATAAGAGTTAATTGTATTAATCTGTTAAGAATTTATTCAGGTTTTTGTTTTTTTATTTAGCAGTGATGGTAGCAGGTGGGGGGTGGGGGGGGCATACAGTACATACAGTAGCCCACTACTATACAGAAAGTATTATTTTACTTCCACAACAGTAACACATAGAAAACTTATTTGCATGTGAATGCAAACTTGCTAACTCGCCCCAGCGTTATTTGTGTTCAGGCGTTTGGCGTGCACTGCATGTGTCGTAGTGTTTCCTAGCGATGGATGGTGCTTACTAATCTGCAGCTCTCCTCAGTGAAACGATTTACGTGGCCTGCTTTATCCCATGTAGCATTTTGTTCTTCAAAGCTTTCATTGCAGAACGACAGAGCCAGATTCAGGCATTAAAAACCTTTGAGTGATTATTTATTAATCCTGTTTTGATTAGAAATGTGTCTGTGCTAAGACCCACAGAATGAATTTCCTTTGTCACTGCAAGTTTAATTCTCCTTTCAGTCAAACTGAAGTACTCTTTGATATAACAGTAATGTTGCTGAGTTTTTTGGCTTTTACTCAGATTCCCATATTATTCCTCAGCTCTGACTCAGCCCCCCCTCTGCTCTGCATCGGCCATTTGAACTCATTCACCCTCATTTACTTCCTCCATGTGCGCTGCTTGTTAGTTTAGACCCGCAGCTGACAGCTTTCACCCTTGTTGGTAACAAGTCAGTGAAGTAGTCAGCAACTGTTTTCTACTCTCTTTTTGTTAGTTTGTGCCTGAATGAACTAACACAAGTGAACCTGTTTTTCACACATACTGTATTTTCCTTCCTCCAGCTGGAGCTGTTGATCATTTATTCACTGTCTGCTTCTTCCCCAAAACTGCAGGTTTTTTAAGCAACACAGGGACATGCAGATTTTAAATAAATCAATCTTTTAGGGTTTGGCAGTGAAATGCGATGCTCTGCATTAAAACTCTATCAGCACATTGACATGCACACAGGAAACCAGTTTACTCTGGAGTTGATGGAACCGTGGCCTATTTACTGTGAATGTATTTCAGTGATCAAATCCAGTGTGTCAGGGAAATACCTCCCCATTTACTACCACTTTAAATGGTATCTTTTTACAGCTGTGTTTGAGTCACTGAGTTATAAATTACATGAGTGATTAACTTTGTCTGCAGAGCTGGCGAGTAATGAAGTACATTTACTCCTTAAATACAGTTTGGAGGTACCTGTAGTTTTCTTTTGTTGCACATTTGACTCTCTTCATTTATTTTAATTTTAGTTACTTTGCAGATACAAAATACTGTATAATCAGACAGTAAATGATGATGTATTGTTATGGATTAACCACCTGGCTGAACATAAAGTGGTTAAAATTGGCTTCACTTTAGCAGCCGCGCTGTTTTAGTTCCACACCAGGTCACAACATAGTAACAGGTAGGGATAACTAATCAGGTGCAGCTGGTGGTAATCAGGGGATAAGAAGCAGGTGTGTCGGATAACGTAATCAAGGTAAAGGAGCAAAAACAGAGTGAGGGGAGTGAGAAAGCAGGTGCAGCCGGGCAAACCTGACACTCGGACCATTTATTTTTATTAATTATTACTAGAAAAGTTCTTTGCCATATTTGCCGGTGGGTTGTTGAACAAACCTGGACTAAACTGGAACATTCTTGTTAACAGCAGCATCAAATTCAGTGGAGCTTGTTTCTTTAATGGAGTACTGATACTTTTGTACTGTTAGTACATTTTAAATGGTAAATGGACTGTATTTATATAGTGCTTGTATGCACTGGCCAAAGTGCTTTACAGGGAGATTATACACCATTCACACACACATTCACACACCGATGACGACAAGGCTGCCACACAACGGCCTGTAGTGGAATACCCTTTTAGGTGAGTACTTGCATTTTTACTGTATTGTATTGAGTTTGTGTACTTCTGCCACTTCCCTTTGTCTGTTACAATTATTAACCTGTTCAATTTTGTTTAAATTACATATATTGCTGTAATGACATCCTCAGTATGTTTGTCGACCACAGTTGTGAAAAGAAGACAGATGTTATTCACCACAAACAAAACAAGAAACAAACTGTTTCTACCCTGGCACAGCAGGGAAACAGAGCGACAATACAACAAAGAAGAGCATGATTTGTACACTGGAGGGTGAAAGGAGTGGTAATAATGGTAGCTCTAAGTTAAGTTGGGCCCCAGCCCGATCCTCTTGGGGGGACTTCTGTGGGAATCACAATTCAGCTCACACTCTGCAGCTCCTGAAGTCGGACTCACGGCACCTGAAGCTCCAGGGACACACAGGCGACCCCTCCACACACTACAAAAAAGTCATTATACCTTTTCATCAAACAAAATAATCAGCGTTATTGTTGAGATGGCAGTTCTTAAAAAAATCACAGTTTTTTATGTGTAGTAGTTAGTAATCCCAGCATCTACGCCTGAAAGCAAGGGATGATCTGGGGTTATTGATTAAATTAATAGTAAATCTGCTTCATTTTCAAAAGAAGATCTGCACTGCCTCTCACTGAGAACAAAACTCTAGTGACAGACAAACCTTACAAGACGGATAAGGACAAAATGTGACACAAATCACAATTAGACAAAAGTTTAATTCTATTAATAGCATTTTTATTATTGACAGATAAACGATCTTGCGTCCATGAAACGAGTTAAATCCAACTTTAGTCTTCAGTGTAGGATGAGGAGGCATCTAAAAATAAAGTAAAGAAACGAGCCTCGGTTTGAACCAGTTGGCATAA